TATACACAGACATACACATATTTTCTTACAGTTATGCTTTAGCTACAACCCTCAGGTTTGGGTATTTCTTTAAAAGCTATTCACTTCTAGATTGTACAAATGAAATGGCGGGAAGCTACAGAAAGAGGAGCTGGGTATGAGTCTCCTTAACCATGTAGAAGGATACAGACATACTTTCTGCCTCTGATAAGTGCTCTGGTTTCTTTCTTCTTCCTTTATTCCTCTCTTCTTCCCAATAACTTTTGCCTCTACTCTTCCCCTTTTCAGACAGCTGTCTTTTTCTAATCGAAGAGTCTGGAGAACTCAAATACTCCCACAAATGGCTTGCATTTTCCAGGCATACTCATCTTCTAAAAGTGGATATAATGAGAAAACAGTAGAAAAACTTTAATGCAAAGAAAAGGAATGGTAGGTAATCTGGGAAGGAAATTATAGGGTGGGGAGAAGAGTAAAGAAAGAAAATTGATAGACTTCTGGTGTCTCTAGGATACCATAATTAGGGAAACTAGTCATGCTGCTTTATATGAGGGGAGATTCATACCCTTGCTCATTGTCATAGATGCAAATAAATTCTCCAGAGGGAGAGGTTGGGGCCCTAAGAACTGCCTCTCTGAGCAATGTGCAGAACTGAGTGGTAGTAAAATAAATAAGATGGTTTAATTTTTTCAATTATTAGGCAGTTACTGAAACTTAAGCCCTTTGGAACTGAATGAGGCATATTGGGCATTCTCCCTACCATTCTATCTTTGTATTTATTTAAGTGGTCATAACTACAAATATGGATATTCTGAAGAAATGACTGTGGTGGACCAAAAAAAAAAAAAAGGTCTTTCAAAGATGAACCTATAAAACTGCTACCTTGCACATATGGCAAAAAGTTCTTTGCACATGTGACTAAATAAAGGATGTGGAGATGGAAAGATTATCTTGGATTATCCACACAGGTCCAATGCAATCACAAGGATATTAAAGGGGAAAGAGGATGGCAGGAAAGTCACAGTCAGAGAAGGATACATGATAAACAAGTGATGAACCTGCTGAATGCCAACATATGTGGGAAGCCTCTATAAAGAGAAAAAATCAGGGAAAGGGATTCTCTAGAGCTTCCAGGAGGAAGACAACTCTGCCAACCCCGTGATTTTATCCTCATCAGACCTATTTTGGACTTCTGACCTCTAGAGCTGTAAGATAATAAATTGTTTTCTTTTAAGCCACACTTTTGTGGTAACTTGTTAGCAGCAATGGAAAACTAGTAAAATGACAAAAGTCATGAGTACAGTAAGCCCAGGGCAGGCATCTGGGCATAATTGTTGGCTGATAATTCCAATCTGAGACCTATTGCTTTTCAAACTGAGTATTGTGATTGGTTTGGGTTTTGGGTCCCCCTCCCCCACCACCACTATTCTGGGCTTCACAAATATACAATACTGCATCACTATAATACTGGCCAAGCTTGGGAACTTTGTAAATTACTTGAACTGGGGATCTTAACAAATTCCTTGGCACTTGAGCTGGTGTCCAGGCTCTGAAGACCAACTCTCTGAACACCAACACCTCTGATGAGATATCATTTCTCTATACATCATTAGTGCCACCCACTACTAGATAGATTTTAGTCAGTGAACCATCTAGGTTCTCACCTGGGTTTGTTTTGGGCTCCTTGAGTCATCCATCTCCTGGGCTTAGTGTCTGCAATTACTTGAAGAGTGAAGAATGCTATTGAATCATGTTCAAAGAAGGCATGTGCAATGGTAAGAGTTTAAGCAAAGGAAGACCAAAAAAGGTGGAGGGAAGCATGGAGGGGGCTGGCTAGAGACTATTGCTGTGATTTATACCAGGCAAAGGCAGGTAGTCCACATTCCAGCTATAATGTGCCCCAAATGCCACCAAATGTGCAGAACATGCTAACCAGCAATTAAACATCGAATTTGGAATACCTTTATTTTTATTAGATGCTTGAAGAATGAATCTAACTTTACTTTCAGATATTTAGTTATTGTATCCCTTTCATTCACCTATACACCAGAACTTCAGCATATCTTTAGTTCTTTTTCCAAACTTCTCTTTGCTCTTCTGGAAAATGCAAAGCAGTGCAAATACTGAACATCATATTCTAAGCTTGGACTAGATTAGACATTTAAATTTTTAATCTGGGTAAAATCTTTTGGTTAATTACTTTCAATTTTTAGTTTTTTAACATTTTTAATTGTATTATTATTATTGTTTTTAAATACATGACAATAGTAGAATGCATTACAATTCTTATTACACATATAGAGCACAATTTTTCATATCTCTATATATAAAGTATGTTCACGCCAATTTATGCCTTTATACCTGTACTTTGTTTTTTTTGCATTATAATTCTTAATACACATATATACTACAATGTTTCATATCTCTGTTTGTATATAAGGTATGTTGATACCCAATTCGTCTTCATACATGTTCTTTGTATAATGATGTCCATTACATTCCACCATCCTTGCTAATCTCCTGCCCTCTTCCTTACCCTCCCACACCTCTTCCCTATCTAGAATTAATCTAATACTCCCATACTTCCCACGGAAGAATTACTCTCAATTTTTAAGATGAGAAGAGCAGGTTCAACCAGATTATGTAACTTGCACAACTCACTTCTCGTATCATGGCTGGTAATCAGTCACAGACAACCTGCCTAGAATCTGGAGTCCAGTTCACGGGTCTGACTTGTCTGTTCATTTGACATTTACTTGACATTTTAAAAGTATTTACTGTGTCCCAGTATTATTCATTGTGCTGGATATAGCAAGAAACAAAACAAACAAAAAATCTCAGGTCCTAAAAAAAATTATATTCTAGTGTGTTTGCAAGACCCTGGGTTCATTTCATTAGTAGCTTAGGATATTCAGTCATAAACATCTCTAACACTCCACTCAGATAAAGGTTAATTCTGAGCTCAATCTTAGTTATTCTTTCCTTGGGGACCTGATTTCAACCCTTTAACATAAGCCCAAGGGGAGTTCTTAAGTTCAGACTTCCTGTTAATTTATATGTTTTGACAAGAAGAACTAGGATTATGCATTTATGGCTCAGATTTTATTTCTGGAATAATTCCCAAAGGGTGAAAGTCTATTGTGTGTTTTGGTGGAGAACATCTGCCTTCTGTTTTGCTTTTTGAGGGCTTGAGTAGCAAAGAACCAGGGAAAGCAGGCGGCTCACATTTGGATGCCCCTTAAATGTTAAATCCAATCTTTGTAAATGTGGGAATCCAAGGAATTCTTTTTTTTTTTTAAGAATCTTTTTTAAAAAACATTTTTTAGTTATAGATGAATGCAATATCTTTATTTTGTTTATTTATTTTTATGTGGTGCTGAGGATCGAACCCAGTGCCTCACATGTGGGAAGCAGGCGCTCTGCCACTGCCCCAACCCCAGTACCCCAAGGAATTCTTGAATTTTGTAATATCCACAGCCCTCAGCACTAACATTACTTTTTCATGCTGCCAGAAGTTTGGATGAGTTTCTTATGAGAATGAGATTTTCACTTTAAAAATATTTTAACAGAGTGCAGAATTTCTACCATAATTATTAAACTACATAATAGATATAATGAAGCAGATAAATATTTCTTGGCATTCATAGAAAGTGACTAAAATGTACTGGATAGAAAGTGACTAAAATGTACTTTTCACATAGAAAGTGACTAAAATGTACAGGCTGGATATGAACGATTTCTAGACTTTTAACCAAGTTCCGAAGTTGGAAACCTTGGAGCAGCCTGCCACCTTCAGGATAACTTCTCAATTAACTCTGTCAGAGAACACTCTATTGTCTATAAATTCCAAATACCAATCCTGGTAAAAACGTTTCATTATAATCAACGGAGGGAAGCTATGCTCTTTGTAGAGGTTTTGCTATGATTAAGCATGATATTTAATAAAATTAATTTTCTTTAACTAAAACTGTCCCTTTCTTCAATTCAGTTTTTCTAATTTGATTACCTTTACACCTATATTCATTTCTAACTTTAGAAAGGTTAAAAACAACCCATCTATTTCATTTTACTAAGAAGAATTGAGAACACTAAAAACAGATTTTGCTGCCAGAGTCTGTGAAAAATATTTTCCAAAATAATTTTGGAAACTACTTCCTTCCTCTTGGTTTTCTTTTATTATGGATTAATCACAATATTCCTAAATAATCTTTAATAAAATTAGCATTAGCGAAACACAGTCTGAAACGGAGAGGAGGGAGACTGAGAGAGATATTTGCTTTTCCCACACGTACTGGCTATTGCTTTCTGTAAGTTACACTGAGGTCTCCTGGGGCTCAAAGACTCTGTAAGGCAACAGAGATGAGAAATGAGGTAGGAAAAGACAGGGCGGCTGACTCCTTGGTTAACAGCATGGAGCAGTAAACAAAATTAGTTATAAAAACAAAGAGAAAAGAAATGAAAGCATAACTAAAATCAATATCATTATCTCAGTGAGTTATGAGAATGGGATAAAGATCATGGAAAAAGAAAACGGTGGCTTGGAGAGGATTTAGGCAAAGGGATAGGAAAATAGTGGGTACTGAAATGAAAGAGCAGTTTAAAACAAAAGCCCTTTGAGAACGAACACCCTATTCTTATTTTCCTTTCACAAAAGCAGGACGGGATAACTCGTGGACCTGGTTTGTGCAATGATCAACTTCCTTAGGACTTTGGTTCTCAGCTCGCACTGCAACCCTGGAGTCACGTGGGAAGCTTTAACCGAAGCCGGGCCTCACTCCAGAGGAATCAGTTCAGCAAGTCTGGGGTGGGGCGCGACCTGTATCTATCCCAAAGCTTCTGGGTGCGTGCTGGGGTCTGGGTCCTAGGTACCCTCTCAGCGTCCAAGGCTCACCCCCGCCCCTCCCGCGGGAAGCAGCCAGTATCCTTCAGGCTGTAGGCCGGGAAGGAAGCGCTTCTGACACTCTCTGGACAGAGACGCTGTGTGTAGCCTCCTGACCACGAGGGGGCGACCAGCGCTCACGTACCTTCCATTTCCCGGCGCGCAGCCGGCTTGACCCCAGCATGCGCACACTCCGTGCGCCCAGAGGTCACCGGCGCCGGTGTTTTCCCACGTGCGTTGTGAACCTGAGGGCATCAAGTTATGAAGAGATGGGGGCTCGGATGACCCGCGCGATCAGGAATTTCAACATAGAGAACCGAGCAGAACGGGAAATCAGCAAGCCGAAACCCTCTGCGGCTCCCAGGCACCCTTCTACCAAGAGCCTGCGAGAACAGATGAACTGTGAGTGGAGCAAGGGCGCGGCGGGCGCTGGGTCGCCGGGTCGCCGGCTCTCAGTGCGGGGCTCGCGGTTCTGTACCGTGGGCCTCGGTCCCTAGGCCGGAAGACCTGTGTCAAGTTGCTAGGCCGCAGCGGCTCTGATCATCCGAGCGCAGGAAGGTGGAGCTGCCAGGCGGGTGACATTGAGGTTGTCCCCTCCGCACAGCGGTGAGGTTGGCGGCCCCTACCACTTGTCAGTCCCAGAGGTGGTGGTCAGTACCATCGCTGACCTTGCCCTCACCTGCTATTGTCATTAATCGTTGGCAGTTTGTTGTGGCATATCCGAATCAGCGGGAATCGTGTGCTGCTTAAGTTTTCGCTCTGTGTGATCACAGAAGGATGGGTGCCAAGCCTGACCTAGTATTTCGATTTACATTTAAAATATTTTCCGAACTTTCCAAACGATTATTTTAAATGCCTTATGTTAAGTATTTGGGATCTTAAAGGAAATTTTTCTTTCTTTTTTAATAAGTGATTTTTCTTTTTCTTTCCTTAGACAACCCAGAAGTTAAGGGAGAAATTGCTAGAAAAGATGACAGGCTGCTCTCATTACTAAAAGAAGTATATGTTGAGTCCACAGATCCTGTATCTTCCCTGCGGGTAATGTGTGTTTTAATTAAGAAAATAGTTAATTTACTTATTTATTTCGGGGCTTCAGGAAGATGATCAAGAGAAGTGTGCTAAGTAGTAAAAAAAAAAAAAAAAAAAAAAAAAGTGAGCATTCAGCAAGGGTTTGTACTTGTGTCCAGAGTTCAGGCCTTGGCAAAGTTTAAGCACAGTGTTCTAGGCAAGACACATAGGACCTGGTTCATTTACCAGAGTTCTAAAAGACTTATGAAAGTGTTGATTGAGTGCACCTGGGTAGATTTTGGTAGTTGTAATTTGAGTAACAAAAGGATATCTTTAGAACTATTATTCTCCTGTGAATTGAGGTATAGTCTAATCTTAGGAACTCCTTTGGGTTGTTGGGTTTGTCAGAGCTTTTTTTGTTTGTGTTTTGAAGTGTGTTTTCAAATAGGATATGTAAAATTAGGATTACAGAATACATTCGCAATGGGCATATTTGTTAAGTCCATATAGTAGACAAGCGCAGGCACAGTGCTCTGTGTTGAGCAACACCTGCTTCTTACTCTCACAAGGCTTATGATGTTGTGAGGGAAACAGACATTAAACAGATGAACATGCATGCTACAAATGCATAATTATAGGCACTGTGGAAGTGTATCAGAGGGATCTATTTGAAATTGAAGGATGAGGGATGGCTTCTGAGGAAGAGATATTTAGGCTTGGGTCTGAAGGATGAATTAAAGTTTGTCAAGGGAGGTTCTGAATAGGGAAGAGTTAGATTAAAGGGCAAGGAAGAACCAACCACAACTTTCAGATTTTTTTTCCATTCTAAAATTTCTCTGGTACTGTCTGTAGACAGGCATAGCCTGCACAAATATATTATTGATATAATTTTTGTAGGAGAAATAAGACAGCATTTGAAAATTGTATGTAATAGTGATTTTAGGGTATAGTTATCACCAAAGGCTCACATAAAAAACACATAATTGTACATGTTATGTTATTTTTAAACAGATATTGAATAATATTTCCAAACATTGTTTTTCTCATGTTATACTAATTCAGGCATTTGAAAATTGGCTCTTGGGGAATGAAAAAAATTGAACAGTTACAGAAAGATATTTAGTGGTATTAAAATTTCAGGAGCAATAGAGAAAGTCTAAAATGAATGAGTGAAAATGAAAAATTGAATTGCCTATTTAAATTCTTTGCCCCCTGCCCTTTTTTCTTTTGATAAGTTTGGGGTGCTTTAACATCTTAAAAGTCTTCAGTATTTTTTTCTAGTGGTTTTCTGTTATATATATATATTTTTTTTTTGGGGGGGGGCTAATATTTGCTTGGCATTCAGTATGGTGTTTATTGTACAGAAGAGATCAGTTCAACTCCTTTTCAAATGGATGGCCAGTTGTCTAAGTGTAATTTATTGAATTCCCCAAATTTTTTCCCACATTTTAAATGCTGCTATACATGCATATATAGGTCTGCTTATGAACTCATCAGTTCCATTTATTTTTCTATTTTTACACTAGAATTATAGTATTTTAAGTACTAGAGCAGTGATTAAGCTTGAATGAGATAGGCAGTGTATAAGTTTTATTTATACTGAGGGATTGGAGACATTAGTTTATTTTTCAGAAGAGACACACTTTCTAGCAGTATTTGAATTCATTTGAGATGTTTAGGGTATTGAATATAAAATGCAAAACTCGAAACAAAATAGAGGTAATCAAGTAAGCATGACAATGGTGCCCTTTTAAAGCAGTTTGATTATTTCTTATTAGAAATGCTTGGAACCAGAAATGTTTCATATTTTGTATTTTTTTTTTGGGGGGGGATACTTGCTTAAGAGATATCTTGGGGATAGGACCCAAGTCTAAACATGAAATTCATTTATATATCATATGCACCTTATACACATAGCTGAAAGGTAATTTTATACAGTATTTTTAGCGTGCCTGCATTTTGACTACAACTTATTACAGGGAGTCAGGTATGCCATTTTTCATTTACAGCATCCTGTTGGTGCTGAGAAAATTTTGGATTTGGAGCATTTCAGATTTCAGTTTTCTGAAGCTACCTTAATTCCTTAGTGATGACAGAGCTATAGTTATGAAAAGGCATCATGGTACAGGTGCCATGAAACCATGGCTCATTATAATGAGAAAATGTTTGCAGTATTTATTTGAAAAGGATTTGAGAAATGTGAAAGAAGATTCCAAATCTTGTATCCTAAAATTCACTTTTCTTTCTTTTTGGATACTAGGTGAAAACTACTGAAACACAGCAAGAATCAAAGGAATTCAGATTGCCAAAAGGCCACCATTTTGATATGTTGAATATTAAGAACATTCCCAAAGGCAAAATATCCATTGTAGAAGCATTAACACTTCTCAATAATCATAAACTTCATCCAGAAACATGGACTGCTGAGAAAATAGCTCAAGAATACCATTTAGAACTGAAAGATGTAAATTCCCTGCTCAAGTATTTTGTTACTTTTGAAGTCAAAATTTTCCCTCCTGAAGACAAGAAAGCAATACAATCAAAATGAAGAAAGTGATGAAATTGATTTTCCCATATGTACTTCCCATTCCCATATCCTTTTTATTTCCTCATTTTTAGTATATAAAATTATATAAACTACTGAGTGTTTAATGTTCCCTGCTTTGAGAGCATACTATTTATTGATCTCCTGACTTTTCAAGATTGGTTATGGATTTGTTTTGTTTTCTTTTAAATTAATTTGGTTTAGGCATAGTTCCTATGTGTATGTCAGCATGGCTAATCAGAACAGTTATAAATTTATTGTAATTGAAGGAGATATTAAGTTATTTTAGACACATGATATCAGCTTTTAAATTGGTCTTTTGACCTGAGTCCCACATTTAAAATTCATAAGTCTTACCTTCCAGTTTAAGTGGTTAGTTCATTCTGTCAGGGATATTGAAAGTAAGTTTTTTGACTCCTAGGACCATGACATTTTTTTGTTAGGGAAAGAGAATAATAATATTTCCCAAATAAAGACAGGCAGGAGGCTGACTATGAAATCAGTGAAAAATATATTTATATCATTACTTTTGATGAATAAGAATTGGCAAGGATTTTTTTGTTTTGTTTTGAATTGGTTCTAAGTATGGAATAATGTCTTTTAAATTATAAGAAATAACTAGTAATGTTAATAAATGTTAGCAATCTGCTTAGACCGAAATGGATCAGGCCAAAAGCTATCAGAACTATTGGGGGAGGGGAGACTATTGGGGAAAAAAAACAAACAATTTTTCTCTTGGTTTAATTTAGAAATACAAGAAATTTTTAAACAGTTAAAGAACCAGGGTAAGGGAAATTTGATGATCAAATTATATATAAATATTTTGTTTTAATGCTAGTTGAAAGAAGAAAGAAAAATAGTAAGTGGAAGCATAAAATATGGTCCTTGGAAGGAAGCTGGGAAATTGCTGCTTCATTAATGTAATAAACTTAAAAGAACCACAAATATCTGTACTAGGATCTTAAGCGAGGTTGTGTAACTTTAGCTCAGCTTAATAGATTACCACCTATGAGATCTTGGGTAGATTGTGTAACCTCTTGAGATTGAATTTCTACTATAAAATGAGTATAATGCTGCCTTAAATATAATGGTTACTGTGACGATAAATGAAATAGTAAAGAACTACAAAGGACCAAGCAAATATGAATTTTTTTCCAGTTGAGAACATGCCTGAGGAGGATACATGATGTAATTATTTGTAGTTCATGACAGCCAGACTCAGAATTGAGGTTTTCAAAATCATAGTGTATTTTTTCCTATTAGACCAAAAATAAATTTATTTCAAAGGAGCAGAAGGTGGGAATTGTGGAAGATGGGTTTGTCAATGTGATTCCATTGCTACTTCCCAGAGATTCCCCGGGAAATGGTATGGAAGATGCTGAGGAATTCAGCATGATGATAGAATGACACATCAGTAGTAATGCTGAAACAGAAAGTGGGCAGAGATAGGCAACTTGTAAACTTGTTTTTAAATACTGTGCCATGTGATAAACTATACGTATTTTATTTTGTTCAACACAGTAGTTTTCAAGAAAATATGAAAGAATGCTAGCCAATAAAAATTTTTATTTTCAAACTCCTTTCAATCAGTCAAAATTATTTTCTTTTCTGTAAAGATCAATACTTGAATCACTGGTATTGCTATTTCTGAGCCACCTTTTGTGTTCAAAGCTATATTGTGTGATTAGGCATCTGTAAATATGGCTTCTCATATAGTGTCATGTGATAAAATAAAATTACTTCCCATATCATTCTTTAGTCTACTGCTTTTTATTACATATAGGAGAACACTTGGATAGTAGGAATATCACAGAAAATGGATGGTGTTTAGATTGACAAAACCTGTGTTTATATCTCATCATTACCACTAACTATATCATCTTGGACTTGTTAACAATTGAAAAATAGGTAATAATAATGGCTAACATTTTAAAATTAATTACTATACTAGACCCTAATCTAGGTGCCATACATATATTAACTTGATCAATATTTTCCACAGGTATAAGTACAAATGTATTTTACCTTGAAAATTGAAGCACATGAAACTTTAGTAACATTAGAGATTACTTAGTAATTGACGCATGAAATTTAAGCCCTGGTAGATCATCTTTTAGAACCTTGTGCTCCTAACTGCTATGCTGTGTTGTCTTTCTGTAGGATTATAAGAATTAAATGAGATGACGTGCAGGTCACCTGGGACTTTAAAAGGCCAGAACCATTCAATGCTTGCTTTATATGAAAATCCCCTCCCCTCTAGAGCTCTGGGAAAATAACAGATAACTGGTACTCCTCTGCTATGAGAAACTGGTTTATTGAGCTTAGAAGACTCCTGGTAGGTGGATTTTGGATGTGAGATTGTTTTAACAATAATGACCAGTGATTGCTGAGTGTATATGGATTGACCATCTGTACAGGTTGATGAGTCTGTACAGGTTGACCATCTGCATTGTCTGGGTCTAAAGTTTATTATGTATGAAATTGAGGATTAGGGGAAAGAAGAGTGGCCTTGAAGGAATTTGAAGGATTTCTAAGTGATGAGGGAGAAGGAAAAAGCCTCCAAAGTAATCAGGGTCATATGAGGATAGAAGGAAGTTAATAGGTAGGTAGGAGAACTGGGATCCAGGGAGCTGAAAGAGGAAGAGCTGACCAAAAAGAGAGGTCTGCTGCAGAAAAGCGGATGGATTTGGCAAAGTTCTACCATAGGTAAATAGGATCACCTTATAATCTGTTGCCTAAATTGGGACACTTGAGAGTAAAAGGCCAATCACATGAGGACAGTAGACATAAAATGGAAAAACTAGGAAGTGTGGTCATCCTAACCACAAAATAACACTATTGGAAGTCTTAAAGGCTACCCTGATGTAATCATCTTAACTTCACCTCATCAACATTTGGAATCTTACTCAGGAATAATTCCTGTATGTGTCAAAGGGTTTTGCTTAGTCTGCAGATATCTGCATGAACATCCCTTTATCCATATTTACTCAATGCCATTTAACATACATAAATCCAAGAAAATGGGAGTTGGGGTCCTGGAGAATTAGTGGTATATGAGGGAGCTTCTATAAGCATACTTAAAGGAATTGAACTGAAGTAACTCAAAGCACCCTGGATTGAGGCTATGCTTAAAAATAGCTTGTTGGGTACAAATTGAAAATGTATAAGAAATGAACAAGTGTAAAAGATTAAAATAGTTATCTGCATTTCAAATAGCCATCACTCATTGCTTGATAACTATATTACCTTACTAGTTCTGACATACACCAGTCCATGAAAAAGTTTGCAAGAGTGATATCTGTTTTTATCTGGCTACTCCATTTTTTCTGCATTAGGAATAATAGAACTGGGTTACTTGGTAGGGAAATGAAATATCAGAAGCACTTACTTGATCTAAATCTACATAAGAAAAAAATAAACTTTAAATTCAGAGCATTTGGGTGGCTGTAGAATCCCCACGCCTTTTTTTTTTTTTAGCTTGACCTGATCACACCATTTTTAGTCATAACCTCCATGGTTGTCCTTGGTTGGTTTTCCCTGCATGGTTTCCCTTATACTATGAATAGTCAAAATAAGAGTGGTATGTGGAACTTTATGGCTGGACCTTGGTACCAGGAATGTGCCTGACTCTGATACTGGCTTGAGATAAACCAGGTACATTTTGGCTTGGGTGAAGTCACTTTTGTCCCGACCATTATTATAAACCCCCATTATTCTGACCCATATTGTAGAGGTCCACCTGAATCTTGCTACCACCTAGAACCATGCTGATGTCACTAAGACCTCAGTAAATCGCACTCTGCAATCCTGGATCTCCATGCCTCTTCAGTCACATGAACTAGCTTTGGGAGCTAGTTCTCAAACACTGAGAATGGGTTATTTTGAAACAATTATCCAGCCAAGAAGACTAAGGAAATGTTCAAGGAGAAGGAGCATCCTCAGGAAAAGTCCTGGGCTGGCCATCTAACTTCATGTGGGGAGGCTTGGCCCATGCATTAGAGGTGTATAGCCCACCAAGTGAGTATGGGTACGCTACGAAATCACTACTGGATTTGGAGCAGCTATTTGCTGAATGCTTCTTATCCCATTGCTGTTAGGAAGAGTGGTGTCTCACTGTTAGTGGAATGGCTGTTGCTGTGGGCAGTTCACTTTGGTTACCAATGTCCATCTGGCTGGAGGCAAGAGAATAAAGACTTCAGGAAAAGTGATACAAGTTGAAAGAGATATACATCTGTTATGGTTTATATAAGTGGTGTGGCCCCAAAACTCATGTGGATTAATCCACTGATATGGATTAACTGGGTGGTAACCATAGGCCAGTAAGGTGTGACTGGAGGAAGTAAGTCACTGGGGATTAGTCTTTTAAGGGTTTATATTTTGTACCTGGTGAGTACAACTTGCTTTCTGCATTCTGGGTGCTATGTCCTGAACTGCTGCGCTTCCACCATGATGTTCTGCCTCACTTTGTGCCCAGAGTAATGGGGTTGGCCAACATTCACAGAACTTCTGAAACTGTGAGCCAAAATAAACTTTTCTTCCTCTACCTTGTTGTCATTTCTTTTGTCACAGCCATGAAAAAGTTGACTAGAACATCATCTCTCTCTTTTACCATAGACTGTAGCCTGGCTGAGAAAGTTGAAGATCAGGACTCCAAGCTAGATATCCTAATTTGCTGTTTTGTGACACTGAGGGAAAAGTGGTGGAAGAGAAAACAAGTATGGACTGTCATCTGAAGATCAGAATGCAATGCAAAGAACTAGAATCCCTGGGAGAGAGGATTGAAGAAGAACCTGAGATTGAAATGATAGAGAACAGGGACCACCACCACTAATCCCACCTCCACATCCTCCCAACCCCTTACCCCCATAAATCAGACTCACTTTTCTGTTTGAATGTCAATGTAAAGGCACAGAATACTCAGATGGGGGACCTTCTGATTTAAGAAACCGTGACTGTTCAGGAGTGCACTGTTGCAAAACTGCTAAATATTACAAAAACTTTTTAAACAACTCCCCTGGGAAAGCCTAACTGCCTGGATGGTGAGACTGGGACATGGGAGGGGATGACATTTCACTGGTAGGAAATGAAATAAAACATAATTTTATCACTCATCCAGGCTTTAGGTAGCACCTACATAATGTCTGTTGTTCCAAGGAAATCATTCCCTTATAGATTGGATCATCTGAGGCATAAGAGATATGGCCACATAAGGGACTGTACCAGTCAGCATAGGTACCCCCATGGAAAAGCATTGAGGAAGCCCAGGGTATTCTGTGGGAATTGAGCATGTGACAAGCCATTTATGCCCAGGTGTTTCAAGGAGCTGAAAAGCAGTTTCTAAATATGGAATGAAAACAAAATGTTCCAACAGTACATTTCTTTTCTTTTACTCCTCAGTTTGATTTTTTTGACAGAATTTTTAATAATGTGGACAAGGTTGTGTTCAGCCTTGGAGAGACAAGATGGTCAGAATAAGACATGCCTTGTCACAAAGCCTGACAACTAAGAGAAATGGGAGAGAAAAGAAATGGTGGGGGGTGGTTAAGGTAATAAGAAAGCAGATGTGGTATTTATTACTTGCTTTGGCAACCCCAGGGAACCTAATGTAATCTTGATAGCCTTATGGAAGGAGCTTAAGCCTGGACATTTCCAACCTTTTCCTTCTGTTCCCTCTAGGGGAAGGTGAAGAATTTTCAAATTACAGTATCGACAGATGCATAGAATGGTTTCCCTACATTCTCTTTGAGTAAGAGAGAGAGAGTTGGCAACCAGATGCCTCATCTCGAATTATCTTCTGTTCTCTAAGAACCAGGGGAAGTCCTTTGCTCCAGTAAATACGGTTGTTGAATGTATACTGATCTATTGCAACTCAGAATGTTCTCCGGGGCTGGGCAGTGCTTGAGGAATATGAGGATAAGACCATCAGAGAGAGATTGTTACATTTAGGAATTAAAAGAAAACCCCCAACTCCATATTTGGTACTAACCCACCAGTTCCTAAAAACATTCTAGGGATGGATATTCTATTAGGAAGGACACTACAGACCTCTGTGGGCATAATTTCAACCCCAAATTTAGGTAGTGTCATGGTTTGGATATGACATGTCTCCCAAAGACTGGTGTGTTGAAGTTTTGGTTCCCCAATGCAGCAACATTGAGAGGAGTAGCTTTTGGGAAGTGTTCTGATCTCATTAGTACATTAATGTATAGATGGCTTAATGAATTGCTGTAGGGTAGTGGAAACCAGAAAGTGGGACTCGGTTGATGGAAATAGAGCACTGAGGTCATACCCTCGAAGGTATTTTTTTTCATAAATTTTTATATATGAAATTCTTTAGTAGTACAGTGGTAGAATGCTTGCCTGGCATGTGCCGGGCCCTGGGTTCGATCCTCAACACCACATAATGCTAAATAAAGGTATTGTGTCCATCTACAACTAAAAAATTTAAAAAAAATTTCTTGAGCAGTATACAACTGGGAAGCTCTGTGTAGTTAGCAAGGAACAAAAATAAGATGCCAAGTATCTTGGGGCTTTTCCATAAAATTGTTAAGATACAAATCTGACAGTGACAGCATTTTAATCCTTAAAACAGTAATACTCTAGGCCTGGCACTAAACTATAAGGCCACAATGAGATGTAGAATTTTATTTTTTAAGAATATAGTGAATGACAGGTAGTAAGGACATGAGGTGATCTGTACAAGTGCTTATTATAAACCTAAACATTTTCATATAGGCAAAATATTGACGCC